TTTTTGAGACAGAGTCTCACTCTGTCATCCTGGCTAGAGTGCCGTGGCTCAGAGCAACCTCAGACTCCTGGGCTCAAGCAATCCTCCTGCCTCAGCCTCCCAAGTAGCTGGGACTACAGGCATGTGCCACCATGCCTGGCGAATTTTTTCTATATATTTTTAGTTGGCCAATTAATTTCTTTCTATTTTTAGTAGAGACGGGGTCTTGCTCTTGCCTCCGGCTGGTTTCGAACTCCTGACCTTGAGCGATCCTCCTGTCTCAGCCTCTCAGAGAGCTAGGATTATAGGCGTAAGCCATTTCGCCAGGCCTGAAGTCACTATCTTAACTGTACCTTTTGACTTTAAAGTGTATTTTGTCTAATATTCTGTAGCTATACTATTTTTCTTTGAAAAGAATTTGGCTACTTTTATAACTTTAAACATGTTTTTCTTTTTAACTTTCAACTTCTTTATTTTCCAATTTTAGATGTTTCTCTTGCAAGTTGCAAGGGCCCTAGAAATATAGTCATTGGCCATATGTTTTGGTTACCTTTGCAATATAAGGTATTTTGGCTGCAATTGATTAAGTTTTTCTCAGTCATATTTCCCTACCTGACGCATAATAATGGAGAGGTCATTGGAATTTTGTGGGATTAACTAAGGTGATACGTAGGTGCAGAGGAGTATGTTTATGTGGTTACAGAGTCATTTTGCTGGATACTTAATTATTGTTTGCCATGTTGGTGTAGGAATGCTTTCCAGATGTCCTCCCGCTGCACATTGCGCTGACTCACTCGGCATCATGATGCAGAACTTATGGACCTGAGACTGACCTGCCATATGAACTTGTCCTCCAATACCTGGTACCAAAAATATATGTGAGTGGAGAATAAATAGGTTTTGAAATGTATGAATATAGAAATGAGTTTTGAAATATATGAGAGTGAAAAATTCTTTCAATTGATGAAGTTTAAAATTGTAAGCGGAGGATGCTTAGTCAGAACAAAAGTTTCCTCTTGTCAGGTATACACTCAGTGATTCACATATACAATTATAAATACGCAATTTGTAAAAGTAATAGAATCTATTAGACTGTGCGTTGTAGGGCATACACCGGTGGACATTCTACAAATAAGTACACCAGTGTCTTCACGTCTCATGTTTTATGCCTCTCAACATATGGGAGTATATCTTATGCATCCTGTTCTGTAAGTCCCAAATGCCGTTGCTTATATAAAAACACACACATATATATATATATGTTCTTTTCCTGCTGATGTGACCCCAAATACTAACATAGGTCAATATACCATAAAATATACCACACAATGAGGCTATCAAAAATAGTCTAGTTAATGAGTTCACCATTTTTTATATATCTCCTTGCACAAGAAAGCTTTAAATGCTCTAAAATCTCATAGCTAATATATGAAATAAATTCAGAATTTTTCAAATTCTACAAAAAATTTTCCAAAAAATCTACATGGCATTACTAACAATAAGTTATGGAAGCTGAAATTTTTCTACACTATCAATATTAAAAAATTTCAATCCTTCTTTAAATATTAGAATAATCTTTCTATTCTATTTACTAAAAAATTCAAAATTGTTGTTATATGAAAAACAAAAAAAGTATGTAGCCAAAATATTTAGGAAAATAGTGTTATATAGGTATGTTCAAAAGGAACTTTTAAAAAGTGTTTTTCTTTTTATTTTGGCTTAGTGGTATTATCACCTTTTTAAAAATTGTAATTTATTGCTCATTCAAAATAAATATTAAATGTTTCAACTAATTTGTTATTATTATTTATTCTTCTTAGAGTAAGAGCCTCAAAATAAATAAACCTCTCGCTCTATGTAAAATTTAGATTGATGTCTATTTCCTTCCCTTAGAGTGGTCATTCATTTTTATTTTTGTTATTAAGTGAACATAAAATGGTATTCACAATGGTCATGTTTTACATCTCTGGGAATCACTACTAATATTTTTATGGGCCGTATGAATTTTCTCTTCTGTGAAAAGTTTCTCTATGTCTTTTGACCATGTTTTGTATCTTTTAAGAGTTTTTTTCATATTGATTTGTGGAAAGATTTTATAACATCTCAATAATTTGTTGGTTATATGTATTGCAAATATTTTCTCCCAGTTTATAATATTTTTCACTTGCTTAAATATTTCTTTTGTTTAAAAACAGCCCTTAATTTTGATATACTCAAACGTATAGGTCTTAAATTATAGAACTTTTTATTTATGATCAAGTCTTCTTTAAAATGTGTTTTTAAGAAACTTTTTCATACACCTAAACCCTTTTCAAATAGGAGTTTTAACTACTCATTTAAAACATTTCATTTTTTACATTTATCTTTCATTTCTCTGCAATTTAATTACTTAAATTTAAGTTTATATATAGTATAGTGTGCTTCAAATTCATCTTCTTTCCATATAGATAGCCATTTTCCCCCAAAATAATGATTACTTTCTCAAATGATCTGAAATGTCACTTCTTTCAAAAATCAACATGTGTGGATATGTCTCTGAGTTTTCTATTCTACTTCAGGTGTCACTTTGTTTATCCCCACACTAGTTCTATACTGTCTTGTTTATTTTAGCTTTATAATAATTCCTGATAGCTGATTGAACAAGCCTTTTCATCTGTTCCTTCTGGCCATTGTTGGCCCTTTACTTCATACAAAATTGTAAATAATCTTATCATGGATCATGAATAACCTTGTAATATAGTGGAACTGTTTTGGACATGACATTATCATGAAATATACTATTTTTCAATACTAAATCTTTGTAGCCATAAACATGGTATATCACTTAATAAATATATTTAGGTATTCTTTAATATCTTTAATAAAGCTTTTAAAAATTTCCCATTACTAACTAGTCTTGAACATTTCGAAAGATACCTGATATTCCATGGTAATACTGTAAATTATGATATCTGTTTGTGCTTTTAGGATGTTTGTTATTGGTAATTAGAAATGTAACTTATACATTTTGTATTAATATTTAATTAAATACTAAATTTTATATTTAGCCAATGTACTAAATTATAATTTATAGACTTTTTGTTTTTTTATGTAAATAATTACATCTTTTCTACTTTACTTCTTTATATCTCCATTTTTTTTCTTGTCTTATGGCACTTGCTAAGACTTCTAATACAACATCACATAAAAGTGCTGGTATTGTACATCCTTGTCTTAGTCCTAATTATAAAGGACCTCTTTTCCTTTATACCGTCCTTCTGTTTCAGGACGGTATTGACCCAAAGTATATCTTTTTTATAAGGTTAAAGATGCTCATTTGTATTCGTTATTTACCAGTAATATTTATCGTGAAGGAGTACTACATTTAACAAACATTTCTTTTCAAGCTAAGTTTTTCCTCTTTGAATCTGTTGATTTGTTAGATCAAAAGTGTGAATTTGAAAATAGTGACCAATTCTCACATAACTGGGATATAATTTTCACCAAGGTATATCATTTGAAAAATAAATTTGGATTCAACTTACTAAAATGTTGTTTAGAATATTGCATCTATATTTATGAGTGAACTGTGTCTGTAATTTTCCTTTATTATAATGCATTTTTCTGATTTTAATGTCAGGTATATCCAGAAGTAGTAGAATGAACTTGAAGGATTTCCACTTTTTCTATTGTCTGTAAGATTTGGCATTATCTTTTTTGAAATTATCTACCATTTTTATTTCTAAAATATTAGCTGTCCATCTTTTAATACTGTGAACATATTCTGTCTTTCTCCCTCACATTTTAACATTTTGTTTTTATTTGACATTCTGCAGTTTAAGATGTTTTTGTATGTGGATTTCTTTTAACTCTAGAAATGATAGATTTTTTTTTTATTTCAGCATTTTACAGGGGTACAAATGTTTAGGTTACATATATTGCCTTTGCCCCACCTGAGCCAGAGCTTCACGTGTGTCCATCCCACAGACCGTGTGCACCACACCCATTGGGTGTGAATATACCCATCCCCTCTGGCCCCACTGCCTGACACCCGATGAATATTACTACTATATGTGGATTTAAGTGTTGGTTAGTTAATATGAATTTGATGGTGAGTACAAGGGGTGCTTGTTTTTCCATTCTTGTTATATTTTACTTAATAGAATGGGCTCAACCTCTATACAGGATAATACAAGAGGTGCTAGATCACCATTTTTTTGTGGCTGAGTAGAACTCCATGGTATGCATATACCACATTTTATTAATCTGGTCATGATGGGCACTTGAGTTGTTTCCACATCTTTGCAATTGTGAATTGTACTGTTATAAACATTGTGGTGCAGATGTCTTTTTTATAGAATGTCTTTCTTTCCTTTGGGTTGATGCCCAGTAATAGGGTTGCTGATCAAATGGTAGTTCTACTTGTAGCTCTTTCTCCATGTTACTTTCTACAGAGGTTGTACTACTTTGCAATCCCACCAGCAGTGTATGAATGTTCCTACCTCTCTACATATGTGCCAACATTTATTGTTTTGGGACTTTTTGATAAAAGCCATTTTCGCTGGAGTTAAGTGATATCTCATTGTGGTTTTGATTTGCATTTCCCTGATGATTAGAGATGTTGAGCATTTTTTCATATGTTTTCTGGCCATTAGTCTGTCTTCTTTTGAAAAGTTTCTTTTCATGTCCTTTGCCCACTTTATAATGGGGTTGTCTGATGTTTTCTTGCTGATTTTCCTGAGTTCTATATAGATTATAGTTATCAGTTCTTTATCAGATGTGTAATATGAAAATATTTTCTCCCATTCTGTAGGTTGTCTGTTTGCTCTCATGATAGTTTTCTTGGCTGTCAAAGACTCACTACCCTTCACAATAGCAACAAAGAAAATAAAATACCTAGTAATATGTTTAACTAAGAAGGTGAAAGACCTCTACAGGGAGAATTATGAAACACTGAGGAAGGAAATAGCAGAAGACATAAATCGGTGGAAAGCCATACCATGCTCATGGGTCGGCAGGATCAAGATTGTTAAAATGTCTATACTACCCAAAGTGGTCTACAGATTCAATGCAATACCTATTAAAATACCAACATCATTTTTCACAGATCTAGAAAAAATAATTCTACACTTCATATGGAACCAGAGAAGACCCCATATAGTAAAAGCAATCTTAAGCAAAAGGAACAAATTGGGAGGCATCAATTTATCAGACTTCAAGCTATACTACAAGGCTATAGCAACTAAAACAGCATTGTATTGGCAGAAGAACAGAGGCATAGACCAATGGAACAGAACTGATAACCTAGATATAAAACCATCCTCACACATAGCCATCTAGTCTTTTACAAAGCAGACAAAAATACACTGAGGAAAAGAATCCTTATTCAGTAAATGGTGCTGGGAAAGTTGGATAGCCACATGTAGAAGACTGAAACAGGATCTGCCACTCTCACCTCTCACAAAAATCAACTCATGGTGAATAACAGATTTAAACCTAAGGCACGAAAGTATAAGAACTCTAGAAGAAAATGTTGGAAAAATTCTTATAGATATGGGCTTGGGAAAGAATTTATGAAGAAGACCCCAAAGACAATCACAACAACAACAAAAATAAATAAATGGGACCTGATCAAATTATCAATGATAGATTGAACTGCTTGGTTTGACATCTTTTATTAGTTATGGAATATTCTCAGCCATTCTTTTTTCTTTTTTAATATATTCTATTCTATCTGGTCCACTAAATAAAACTATGTTAGACTTTCTTAGTTAATTTTATCATCTCTCAACCTCTGTTTCTGTAGTTTCTACATGTTTTTCCTCTATGTTATACATGCTATAATTGCTTCTCATCTATTCTCCATTTTGTACTTTCAATTTTTATATTTTTAGTTTCTGTAAATTCTCTTTTTTTATCAAAGCTGCTTGTTTTTTTAAATACTCTTCAGTTACCCAAAGATAGATTTAACCTTGTGTTTCGTTAAGTTTTAACCGGCATAATTATTTTTTATTCTAATAATATATACATATGATGAATTTATGGCCTATTTCTGCTGTCTAATTTTTTTTTCTGGTTCTTACAAATGATGTCTTATTTACTCAAGTACTTTTTAATTTTTTTCTTAGAGCTGCTCATGTTTTGGTGGAAAATTATCCATGGGAATTGAGTTCCAGGATGAAGTTATGCTCCTCTAGAGAAGATTCGCATTTGCTTTTTGAGGATCTCTGGAAGCACTACCAATCTCCAACAACTTTTCTGTAAATTTATTACTTACATTTTTATGGGTTAACTCTATGAGGTAAATTCTGACTGCAAATTTACCTGAATACCAGCCCATAATTACTACTTCTCAAAGCCAATCATGTATTATAAACTTCCTTCTGGAATTTAATATTGGTGATTTACTCAAACAATGTAATCAGTTGTTTAAGATTAATAAAAATACTTTTAGCTTGCATGGCAGTTAGTATAAATATTTGAGGAATAAATAGTCTGATATTTTGTTCATATCCTAGTTTCTGTGATAGCTTGTAACACCTGTGTTACTGAAATGATCTGATTGCTACACATTTATGAATTCATTTTAAAATTTAAGGTTAGATGGTTTATTAGCTATTTAGTTATAAAATTCATCATTGGATGTTTACAGGAAGCTGATTTGGCTAGAGCTCAAAAACTGAAGACGTTTTTATGGCATTGCTTATTTGTCAACATTTTGATTAATCAGGCTAAACTTTTAAGCAATAAAAAAAAATGAATAGATACTATGAATAATAATTTAAGCACCAGTGTAATTATAAATACCTTCATCAAAGTTCTGGTGCCTTAGATAGCAATCAACAAATACATTTAATGTAAGGTCTTTCATCGTTGTAATTAACTAAGCTTCTCAAAGAAAAATGCATACATTTTATAAAGACAATGTTCCTAACTTATGGAAATATGATATTCACTTTGATATGTCACTTAATAGATTTTTCTATCACTGCACATCTGTAAGTTTAATGATTATCTTTATTTATTTAGAACCAAATTCTAAAGCAACAGATGTACTAAAATGATATATTTGATGCAAAAATTTTTTAGAATAATTTGCATATGTATAGTGTATATCATTATATACGTACTTATTCCTGTTTAGCACAGATTCTTAGCATTTCACATAAAAGAGGCTGTGATTATGGATCCCAATCTCATGTGCTTTTAGCTGTACAGAGATAAATCACATTATGCTTTAAAGTTAGTACTCCTTAGGTTGTAGGAAATGGAAACCTACTCAGCTTGGCAGAAATGTAATTTATTAAGGCAACAATATACTTGTGCCTCAGGAATATAATCAGAATGAAAAAACACTAAAGAATCATCTTTCATGTCTACTCTCCGTATGTCATGCATTATTTTTCTCTTTCATTACAGAATAGTTTTTGTCTTTTTTACTCTCATAGGTAGGAAATTGTCAACACTTGCAACTATGCAAAGTCATGAAATATTTGAGAAATACTAAATTAACCCTTTCTGAGTCTCAGTTCCCAATATTTGACAAAGGGATTGATTGGTTGAGTTCAGGGCTCATCCCTGAGTTATATATGATGAGTAAATGTGAATATAGGGGCAGCCACATTACCAATGTTGATGAAGGAAGAACAGAATATTTCCAGAAAAGAGATGCTAGAAGACAACTTAGTAAGTATCTCCTGCGGATGACCTGGAACTGCAAGCTCACTTCATGCCATTCAGAGTGTGGTCCATGGAAAACCACCACCGGCATTACCAAGAAGCCTGTCAGACATTTAGAATCTCAGACCCACCCTGTCCCTTATGAATCATGATTTACATTTATCAAGGTTCTCAGGCGATTTGTATGCATATTAAAAACTAAAAACATAGTTCTACTCTGTTAAAAAGTCAAAACCAGGTACATGAAAATTTGGTTTTGTTTCAAGGTACATTTTACTTCTAACCAGACTTAACTCTTTAGCTTTCTGAGTTAATCCTTTACATCTATGCAGAATCCTTATCAACTGTCTTATAAATATATTTTTTAAATTATAATATAAAGGGAATCTTGAAGATTGTGTAGATTACTGTAAATTCATTACTGCTAATGGAAAACCAAACAATTTTTATATATAAATGGTTGCATAATATGTCCACTGACATTGTACATCTAATATTCTAAATTTTACTAGTATGACACATTTATGTTAAAAATTAGCTAATTGGACAACTCAAATGGGAACAAGTAACCTTGGTAACCTTGATGAAAATGTTTAAGATAATGGAAGTCCTTAGCTCTTAGTTGTCAGATGCCTTTAATTTTCATGTAAGTAAATGTTACAGGGCAAAATATTATTAGCTAAGTGTTATTAATGCTTATTACATGCCAGAAATTTTCCTAAATAACTTACATAGATTTTCTAATTTATATTTGTTCCTGTTCAGATTTTGATATACCAACAACTGAACTTTTACAAATGTAATTGTTTTTCGCTAGGTTTTGTTTTTCGTTTTTATCATTGTAATATACATTTTGACTTTGGAGTTTGGGATATGGAGTTGAACTGACTAGGATTTGCATTCTGGTTCAACCTCTTGCTTGTTGCATAAGCTTGAACTATGCATAATCAACTTCCTAAGCCTCAGTTCCCTATCTGTAAAGTGAAAATAATATTTCCTATGTAGAGTTTTAAGGGTGAAAAGGACAAAATATCCTAGCATAGAGTAAGTCCCAATAAGTATTTGTTGTTATTATTATATTTACTTCCTTATATGCTCATCTTTACCTAATTTCATTTGGTTCTTGACAGTAAGTTTTCTCATGTTGCTTTTAGAAATAGTTTTACTCTAATTGCTTAGAAAAGAAGCTTTCTTCTTGAGTCAGCCTGTTTCTTACTGATCCAAGTATGGCTGGTTTGGTTTAGATTTTTATTGCCATTTTTAAATAGGAACTAGAAAATAGTATGTGTTGCCTGCATTTGACTATAAAAACCATTTGGAATTTTTCACTCGATCCTTTGTTTTCATTGACTTCATGTAATCTTACACCATTGTATTTATGCGATGTCAGAAATAGGTAAGCAGAGAGAAAGGGCAACATGGAAGACATTATTTGGGGATGTTTATATATATTTTTGTCAATATTCTTTCCATAAATAAAACTCTAGCTTATTTCCTGATTCAATACTGGATTTGCTATAGACAATCCATGCAACATTTTAGAGGCCAGAAACTCCAGGTTAGAAAGTTTTGTAGAAAATGTATGCCTTCGTATAATCATAAAGATAGTAATTGATCTCATTTAAATTGATTTTAAAGAACTTTGCAAATATCCTTTAATATCTCTGTATGACATTGGGTTAGGTGGAATATTATTCTAATTGAATATTTTGTTTCTTATTGTTTTATCTCATATATTGCCTAAAATGAAAAATTCAGGTAGAATGTATTTCATATAAAAACACATTGAATTCTTTATTTTAGAATTTTAGCAGACCATAAATAATGCTATTCTTCTTTTCTTAAGTTTGGAACCAAGTGAAAGGTCAAAGAGCAAAATATCATTTATTTCTCTCATAACTAATTGGAAAAGGTGAGTTTAAAAGACTAGATTGGCTTGTTAATAATCTATCTTGTTATTAAACTTAATCACCCCATAAGTGGGAGAATTGCAAATTTCCATAGTGGACTTATCAGGCCATTTCCCCAACCCCTTATAAATGAGACAGAACAGCTCAGAATACATGCCTCCTGTAGACAAAATAAAAGGAGAGAGTTGCCAAGAGACTTATGTGTAATTCTTTCTTCCAACATCATCATCAGGATAATTTCTCCTCTTATGATCAAGGTACTTTGAGCTTCCCTTTAGTTTTCTTTCTCAAGATGATTCAGTGAGATGACACACGATTTAATGTTAGTATGAAATTGAAGGTATCCTAAGGACCAGTAAATAATATTCTAAACTTCTGGGTAGCTTTTAGAATCTAAGGATAGATCATTCAACTGAAATGTTCTAAGTATTCTTTTATATTTTATATAAGATAAAGCAGGGATTTACAACACCCTCAGAAAAATAAAATCTAGTCCAATTTTTACAAATATAAATTAAAACATATTTTTAGCTCCGAACCTGTAATTAAAATACTGTTAAATTACTTTTTGATCATTGACAATTAAAGGATTTACTGTCTTTACCAAACCTCTTCTAACTATATGAATCTTCTTCTGTTCGACTTTCTTCCTAATATTTTAACAATTTCAGGGTGGGAGGAAGCTCATTAGGAAGGTTCTAGGGCAAAGCATTTATTATAATGCAATTACATAGATAAAAAATCTCAAGTATCAAATTTAGAATATATTTTTACTTTTCCTCTTCATTGGATCAACTCAATTTACTTTGATCCTTCTAGGTCCAACCTCAATTAGACTCATTACATCATCATAAAAAGCTAATCTCTTCCCATGAAACTGTGTATGTGGAATGCATATGAAAGCTATAGAGACAAGATTTATTTGTCAAAACTCTAGCCTCTAAAATTTCATGAGTGGACAAAGAAGTTGAGTTCTGCTTTTTCTTTCCTACTTTTCCCCCTATTATCTACTTTTCTATTTGTTTTCTTAAATCTCCAAATTCTTTAGCAGTTTCTCTTTTAATTTTTAGACATAAAAATAAACTATAGCTATTGATTTGAAGTATGGTAAAAATTTTAATACTATTGATTTTGTAGTGTGGTAACAAAATCACTAGCTAGTATACAGAAATCTTACATCTTAACTGTAGTTTTCAAAGACTATCATTTGTGTGTTTTTTAAAAACCCTGCAATCTTTATCACTTACTTTAAAAATGAAAAGTGTTTGAAACAGATTTGGGGACACCAGCCTTTTCAATATAATTACCCATTTAAAAATACACATGTTGGGTATTAGTGACATTCTTAAAGATGATTAAACTATTCTCTCTGGACAGCTTAACCACATTCTTACTGCATACAAGCTCAGCCATCTGGTTTACCTAAAGAAAGTTTAAAGGATGATGTCACCAGAGTACCTCATCTACAGTGAAAACACTGCACTGCAAACACAGGAGTGTTATTAGAAACATATGTCTGATTTTAAAATGCCTGCCATTTCATTCATTGTGAGCCAGATTCTATCAGTGACAAAAATTTCTCAGGAAGTTAGCTGGCATTTTTGAATTTATTAAATTACTTCTAAAAGGCACAACATCTTAAAAGTAGTCTTATACATCTTTTGCACCAATCATGATACTTAATTTACTCTTAAGGAAAAAGTTCTGCATAAGAAAATCTGTGTTTTATAGTTGAGAAGGCATAGCAAAGATTTAGAGTCTAGTGATGGGCACGTATATTCCTTCACATGTAAAGAAAAGAAGGTCAACATTTAATCTTCCAGAAAAATTATTGACCTATTTCCACAGAGAATTAAAAATTTTTTAAATTGGCTGAGTTAAGAGAGGAAATGCAAAAGATATATTATAGGGGAATATTTAAAAGAAATAATCAGAACAAAGTATTCTTTTGGGGTTTATCTAGTGTTTCACTGATTTCATTTTTAAAAGGAAGAGCTGTTTACAATAAACTATCCTTAGTACAGGAGAATAATAGGTCTTAAGCAATAAAATACATAGGATTAAGGGTTTTTTGTAATAATTATTGAGGTTAGAATGCAAAAGTTTATAAGTTATGCATTCTATCTATGCAGTAAATTTTAACTTTTGTTGTAAAATATTACTTTAAATGTTCCTCCTCTGAATTACATAATTTTCTTTAAACATTTTTTTTTCCTGAAAGACAAAAATCTTAGCAGAATTCATTTTATGTATTTTTAGAAGCAGTCTATCTTCAGTATGAAAGGGAGATGGTAAATATCAAACAAAACCAGATTTCTGTGAGCAAGGATAAAGATAGAATGGTTTCTGGATAGGCAACCATGCACATCTGTTTGCAAGGACTTGTTTGAAATCAATTTTGATGTAGTCAAATTATTCAATATAGTTAAAGTATAATATTATTTCATTGCTACATTAGTATATTAATTGCTATATTTCTTGGGAAATCTAAAACCCCTCAGATTAAAATATACACATATATATATTTTCTAATGTAATGTGACTACACAAAAATACACCTGAAGCCAATGAAAACTGATAAATTAGCATTTCAAAATGGGTACAAGCTGTAAATGACCTAGAAATAATATGGTTTCTCAAAAGTGTATTATATTCTTTTGTTGTTTAATGTACCAGATTGCATATATAGAATGGTCTTGGATTTATCAAATATCATAAATCTAATGTCATACTAAAATGTGAGGTTTTGCTTTTTGTAGGCTGGTAAGTATACATTTTAGAAGATAATCCAGTATGGTAAGGGGGGGCATAGATTTAGGAAGTAAAATCTCAACTTGTATTTTAATCCCAGTGCCTTTATATACTAACTCTGTAGTTCAAGGCGAGTCACATAATTTCTTTGAGCCTGTTTACATGTCTGCAAAATGGGAAAATTCTTAAGATGCTGTGCACATGATAATATGTATTCCAGTTACTAGGGCTACCTAAAAAATTATTCCAAAATGTATCGATGTGAGATAGCTATGCTCATGGATTCTGTGGATCCAGAATTCAGGCGAGGCATAGTGAGGAGGGTTTGTATCTGCTCTGCAATGTCTTTTGCCTGAGCTGAAGGATTGAAGATAGAAGCTGGAATTTTCTGAAGAAATCATCAACTCCTATGTCTAGAGTTGTTGCTAGCTGTCATGTGGGGGCTTCAGTACTTCTTGATGTGAACTTTCCATGTGAGGGCTAGTTTAGGCTCCCTCACAGCAAGCCCAGTTGCTAGGTGAGTGTCTTGAGAGAACATCAAGTGGAAGCTGCTTCCTTTATGTAATATAGCCTCCAAAGTCACAAGGCATCATACTGCTATGATCTAGTGGTTAAAACAGCCTCAAGCTCTTGCCCAGATTCAAGTAGAAGAAACACAGAACAGCACTTCTTGATAGGAGGATTTTCATTTACATTGTCAGAAGAACCCATGGGATGGGGTACATATATTAACATCATGGGATTATCTTCAGAAAATTAAATCTTCTATAGTGCTTAACATACAGAAGCTATTATTTTACTTTTTTATGATGTGGTATGGAATTATGGCAAAAGCAAAAATTTGGGAGTCAGGACGTTTTGCCATTTCTTTAACTTAAAAATCCTTGTTAAATTATTTAGTGTCTCTTAACAGATTCTTCATCTATTAAATCAGGAGGATATGCTTATTTTGGAGGGTTATTGTGAAGATTAAAGAGATAATAGGCAAAAGTGTCTGACAAATACTAAGAACTCAGTAAATGCTCCCCCACTGTCTCTACCAATTTGGGCTCTACAGGTAATGGCACTAGAAATGCCTCAGTCTGCTATTAAATCAAAAGACTTACCAACAGGCTAAAGAAGCTGTAAATGGGCCAAAGGGAGGGATTTCTGTTTAGGATCAAACTTTGAATAATACATTCAGGACTGGGCAAAATTTAATTTTTTTTAATATGGAAAAGTCCAATGTCACCAACAAGCTTGATGAACAAATTGAATTATAGACTGATATAATCTTAGAAAAGGAAGGTGGCTTATAGGGCAAACTCCACATTTGATAGATAAGGGACTCAAGAGAGGTTAAATTACTTGTTAAAGGTTATACTCTAAGGAGCAGCTCTGCAGCTTAAATTCATGTCTGCTAACTTGTTAAGTTCAAGTTTCTAAATACTCAACTATGCACATTATAAATTTTCTGTATAGCCCTTTTTTCCCCTGGAACATAACTGTGAATTAATTACAATGGAGTATATTATTTGTGTGAATACACTAATAATATGAATACAATAACTAATGAATTAATGTCTTATGATAGTTTGTCAAATCTTTATTATAATAGAAGGAGTAATTCTTCTTCATTTTGGGAAATAATTAGGAAACTAAAGCTTTAAAAAAGCTGAAACCATTTCCAAACTTTTTCCTTCAAAAAAAAAAGTACATTTCAGATGTTTAATTCTTACTACATTGGTTAATCAAAAAACCCATGTGTAGTTGATGGACCATAGATATATACTCAACTAGTCTATCAATTTTCTTATTATGGAATGCAGTGTGGTGGTTAAAGACCAGGACTTTGGAATCAGACTGATTGAATTAGATCTTGCTTCTGTCAATTTACTCAAATTTCCTGTGCTTCCAATCTCTCACCTGTAAATAGGAATAATAATAATTCCTACATTGAATGGTTGAAAGTGATATATTACTTTCCCGTTGCCACTGTAACAAATTACCACAAATTTAGTGGCATAAAACAACAC